CCCCCCCAGGCCCCACAATTTGCCCTGTGCCCCCCGCTCCTGCAGGGTGGGCCAGGTGGACGTGGACATCAAGCTGTCGGGGCCGTTCATCCGGGAGCAGCACTGCCTCTTCCGCAGCCGCCCCGACCCCTCGGGGGAAGGTACGCCATTCGGGGCGGGGGGCGCCGCATTTTGGGGTGCCCCCCTCGCCCAGCCCCATCCTGGCACACCTTAATTGCTGTTTCTCCCCTGCTCCCTCCCCCAAATGCTGCCACTGGAGCAGGTCACCACGGCCCCCCCAGGTACCGCTCCCCCCGTGCCGGTGGGGCAGGGAGGGTCGTGGGGCTGGGGGGGTTTGGGGTGGGATTTTGGGGTTCCCCCGCCCCGGTTCAGCAGGGGGGTGACTCGCCCTCCCCTTGCTGTCCCCTCCTGAAGTTGTGGTGACGCTGGAGCCGTGTGAGGGGGCCGAGACCTACGTCAACGGGAAGCAGGTGACGGAGCCGGTGGTGCTCAAGTCGGGTAGGGACCCCCAAAGCCCTCCCAGGTCTCTGTGTGTCTCCCCAAAATCCCCGTCCAAGTCCCTGCGGCTCTCGCTTGATCCCTCCCAAAACCCTCGCCGTGCCCCCCAAATTCCCTTCAACCTCCCATGAACCTTGTGTCACCCCCAGATTTTCTCTCGAGTTCATTTTGACACTCTCACACCCCCATTTCCCACCCAAATCCCCCAAAACTCCCCGTGACCCTGTCCAAATCTCCCCTAAACCCCGCCGTGACCCCTCCAACCCCCTCCCAAACCAGGCCACCGCCTCATTTTGGGGAAGAACCACGTATTCCGCTTCACGCACCCGGAGCAAGCGCGGCGGGAGCGGGAGCGGGGCGCGTCCCCGGGGCCGGCCCCGGACTGGAACCTGGCGCAGCGGGAGCTGCTGGAGCAGCAGGGCATCGACATGCGCCTGCAGAGGTGGGGACGCGCCCGGGGACACCGGGCTCCGCCCTGGGGGTGCCTGGGGGGCTCACGCTGAGCGTGTCCCCCCACCCAGGCTCCAGGAGCTGGAGAACCAACCCCAGCTGGAGAAGGAAGTGTCGGAGCGGCCGCAGGTGAGGGGGCTGGGGGGTCGTGTGGGAATCCGGGCTTCCCTGGGGAACTCTGCTGTCCCCCGAGCGTCCCAGGGATAGTCCTGGCTGTCACAGGTGACCCCCGGCTCCTCTGGCTCCCCTTCACGTCCCACGACCGCCCTGGGTGTGTCTCGTGGGTCTTCCCGGGTGCGTTC